CAAAGCTCCCTCCCTACGCTGCTTAGCAGAAAAGCTACCGGAGATAGTCCTTGGTTCCAGGGCAGATTCCACTACTCTCACCTACCTCAACGGTTTTAAGCGATGGCGTGCTTGGGCCAACAGATTTCCGGAGGTCGCAGTGCTGCCTGCTACTCCGGCTTATGTTTCTTTATACCTGCTCAGTGTTCTCCAGGCTTCTAGTTCTCCTGCGCCGGTCCAGAACGCCTTCTATAGCATTCGCTGGGCTCATGATATTGCTGGTTTCGACTCTCCTACCAATCATACACTTCCCCAGAAGGTCGTGGAGTCCGCTAAGAGAAGGCTACTACACCTTACTTCCAAAAAGCTCCCCATTACACCCGAAATTTTACAAAAGTTGTTTCAGAGTCTCGATGGATCTTTGGTGGACACAAGATTCATGGCCATGGCGTTATTGGCCTTGGCGGGGTTCTTAAGATTTGATGAATTGGCTAATCTGAAGCTTAGGGATTTAGCGCTGCATGACACTCATTTTGAACTTTTTATAGAAAGCAGTAAAACTGATCAATATCGCGAGGGCGCTATTGTCCCCATTGTCAAGTCTGGCACGGATCTTTGCCCCTGGGGTAATTTAGAGAAGTATTTATCGCAAGCCAAACTCACGTTACCGACATCTTCCCAAGGTGGAGACGACTATTTGTTCGGAAATATTCAAACCAAGTCTGGTTCTCAGTCCATCCGCCCAGGCTCCAAACTGTCTTATAAAAGATGTAGAGAAGTTTTATTGAAGAAGATTGTAGATGTAGGCTTAGATCCTAAGTCTTTCTCTTGGCACAGCTTCAGAAGTGGCGGTGCATCTGCCGCCGCTAATGGTGGTATCTCTGATAGAATGTTTAAGCGCCACGGTAGATGGCGTTCGGAAAACGCTAAGGATGGCTACGTTGCAGATTCGCTAGAGAGCCGATTAGCGGTCTCTATGTCTCTTGGACTGTAATTGTTTCCCGTTCTTTGTTTTCTCAGCCGATCCTTAGTTCGAGCTGCACACCCATTCCCGTCTCTTAGTCGTGAATATAAATAGGAAATGTATTTACATTCGGCGGAGCTAAACGTAGTGGCAGTGACAGAGAATGTAAATACTTTCCTATTGGTATGAACGCTCGTAAGCCGTTATGGCTTTAATTGACTCTATTGTTATTATAGGTATATAAGGTTTTGACAGTTGTAATGTATTCATCTCAGCTCTCGAACTATCAACTTTTATTTTTATATCTTACTTTATTCATCTATCGATTGATTTTTTTTCCTTTAACCCCCAGAGGTTGTGCGACCGCATCGGTTGGGGAATACGCTCCCAATTTTTTCCCATTGGGTTTTTGGGTTTTCGTATCAGGCGGCGCACGTGAATAGTTTAGCCTGAGTGACTTTATTTAGGGATATTTGTATACCATTCTTTAGTTATGATGTTGAACTTTGTATGATATTTGGACGGCATTAAACACTCAGGCTCCTTAGTTCGAGCTGCACACCCATTCCCGTCTCTTAGTCGTGAATATAAATAGGAAATCAATTTTTTTCGAGTTAAGAGGCTCACTTGTAGGACGAAAAACAGTATAATTTTATTTATTTTATTTTTTTTTTTTAATTTATTTTTGCCTTACAGACATATATTAAATGTTTACAGTACTAAACACTACTGAAACTAAATACTACTAACAATATTCACTATACTTGCACTATTTACAATATTGGCTATACTGACAATACCATCCATACGATGCTCGTACTACTAATAATTACAATGGTTACACTACTTACAATTCTAGTACATCACACACACACACACCCCCACATAAACACACACACACAAAAAAAAAAGGTCAGAGGAGTTACTTTTCATGTCTATTTTATAGCTTTTCAATTCTGTATTTAATTATCATTTTACCAACGAAGTCTTGGAGGAGAATTGGTTTGTTGTGTAGTTTGTTGGCGTAGATGTAGTATCTCATAAACAACATGGTATAATTGAATTTCCTTACTAGTACCTTTTCATGTAAGTCCGAGAGGATGCCGAACAGTCTTTCTTCGCTAGATGGGTTGAGATTGATCTTGTTTTCTATATTGAACCAGTTGATAACCCGTTGAATGAAAATCTTGACGAAATGACAATCTCTAAAAGTATGATTAATAGAGTCTTTTTCACCACAATATATACATTCATCATCTTCCTTGATTCCATAGCGGTAAAGTTCCTTTTTGGTGACTACAATTCGGTGGATTAATTTATATTGAAATTCCTTTAATTTGGTCTCTCTACAGACGGTTTTTAGGGAGGTGAATATTTTTTCCCATTTATCTTCATCCAAGGAAAGATCTTTGCTCCATCTCTGTGGCCCAGAATGACCTGTTGTGTGGATTTTTGTGCATAATAACGTATAGAAGTCGCTAGTCTTGATTTTGTTCAGATATAGAGTTATCGATTCATTTAATTGTAGACTAAGATTATTATCAGAATATAACTCTTTATTAATTGGCTTCGTTGATTTTGCTTTGGCTAATAGGTGCTTTGGAATAGAGCTAATAACTTGATAGTATTGAAGGAAGTTAGTTTTACAGGAATATTTATTCGTAAATTCCTGATAGGTCATCGGTTGACCGGTATTGTGTAAGAGATCTTGTATTGACAGGATACCTTTTTTAAACCATTCCCTGATAAAAAAGGTTTTACTGTCAACAAGTATTTCTTTGTTGTTGAATAGAATTATATTTTGTGCTTGATCAAAGCTGTACAGAGTTTTTAATTCACTGAAGTATACTAGAATATTTCGGTAAAACAATGGAATAGATTTTATGTATTTCGCATCGTAGTTACATCTCAGTAAAAAGTTCAAACCTCCGAATTTTCTTAGGTAATAATCAGGAACTGTTTTCCAATTCTGGTTCCCTGGAGTCAGTAATCTTGGAATCCAGGCTAGTTTTAGAGCTTTAAACATTATGTCGATGTCTACCATACGTATTCCGCCTCTTCCCAGATCCTGATAGAGCCCAGTTCGTTTAATTTTATCCCTTTTGTTTTTCCATAAGAAACTAAAAAACTTTGTTTTCACTGTGCTTGCGATATCTTCGGGAACATTAAGAATTGAAGCTGAATAAATTAATTGTGACAATCCTAGGGACTTAATTATCAGTACCTTCCCAAATAGTGTGAGGTCTCTAGATCTCCACATATCCAGCTTTGTTTGAAGTTTTCGTATTTTCAGATTAAAGTTCAATTCATTGTTACCCTTCTCATCATAAGAGACATGAATTCCTAAGAGGCGAGCCGGACTATGTAACCATTTTAGTTGTAAAGGATAACTTTTGTTTTTTTCCCATTTTCCCAACCAAATTGCTTTCGATTTCTTTATGTTTAACTTGAGACCCGCTAGCCTCCCAAAATCTCCCACCGTTTTCAAAGCATTTTCAACGGAGATCAAATCTGCACAGAAAAGGTTTGTGTCGTCTGCGAATTGGCTCAATTTGATTTCGTGCCCGAATATTTTGATTCCTGTTATACTTGGTTCTTGTCTGATTTTGCTGGATAATATCTCCGTGGAAAGCACAAATAAGTACGGAGAAAGGGGACACCCCTGTCGCACTCCTCTTGACGGTCTAAACCAGTTGGTCATGAAACCATTGTTTATCGCCGCGCTCTCAATTTTTGTATAGAATGTACTGATCCATCTTTTTATACCTGTTCCGAAATTGAATATATCCAGTGCTTTCATCATGAACGACCATTCTAGAGAATCAAAAGCTTTCCGAAAATCTAGAGATACTAGAATGCCAGGTATGCTTTCTGACTTCGTATGTTCCATTATGTCGATTATTAGCCTAATATTTTCCCCGATATATCTTCCTTTGATAAAACCGGTTTGATCAGTGTGCACTAGATTTGGTAATAATGGTTCTATTCTCCTTGCTATTGCCTTAGTTGCTATCTTGCAATCAACATTTAGCAGTGTTACCGGTCTCCAGTTTGAAAGTTCTAGTAGCGAGCCATCTTCTTTGGGAATTAAAGTAATAACGCCTCTTCGTTGTGAAATGGTGAGTTCATTTGCATCATAGGCCGCATTGAAACTAGCAACAAGATCGTGTCCTAGCAGATCGAAAAAAAACATATAAAATTCAACCGTGAAACCATCTTCTCCTGGAGCTTTGTTGTTTTGAAAAGTTTCTAAAGCTTTTTTGCATTGCATTCTTCATAAGATAATGGACCTTCTATTCTATCTCTGTCTGCATCTGATAGTTTTGGAATTTTTAAATGTTCGGTGAATTCATCAACATTATTTTCCTGTGAATTATTTGCTGATGCGTACAATTCGCTATAATAGTTTTCGATAGCTTCTAATATCTGAGACTCGTTGTTTGTTACTGTTTCACTTTCTGTTCGCAGTTCAGTGATGGTTTTCCTGTTGTAGTTTCTTTTCTCCAGATTGAAAAAGTACTTTGTTGGACGTTCGCCCTTTTCGACCCATCGACATTTCGATCTAAAAATAGCTGCCCTCCCTTTCTCCTCATAAATAGATTGGAGTTCCATTTTGAGATCTTCATATTCATTTAGGATGTGCGCGATATTGGGAGAGTTAAAGTTGTCGCAAATATTGCGGTCCAGAATTTCGAGCTGTCTCCTAATTTCCAATTCTCTATTAGTGGTCGCTTTAGCTTTCTTTTTACTATAAGCAATGGTTGCCGCTCTGGTTTCCATTTTTAACATTTCCCAAAGAAGGCGTGCGTCTGTCAAATTGGAGTAAAAAGCGTGTGTGGGGAGTACGTTTCACGGATTTTGGACACATAATGTTCATCTTTCAGTAACGTGTTGTTGAATTTCCAAAGTCCGGGTCCTCTAGACTTTTCAGTTGTCCAAGACAAAGAAATGTAAATTGCTCGGTGATCCGGTGCTATAGAAGGATAAATTTCGCTTTTCTTCACATGTTGTGTCAGATTTTTGGCAACTAGGAAAAAGTCTATTCTGGATTTCAGTTTTAACACTTTGAGTCATAAGAGTATTTACGTAGCCTCGGGTGACGTAATCTTTGAATATCTACGAGATCGAAAGCGTCCATAGTTGTCAAAATCAGGTTTCGATAATTTGTTGGTTTCCAAATTGTGCCACCAATTTTATCTATCTTTGATAGTGTGCAATTCCAGTCGCCTCCTACAATAAGCGTGGAAATTTCTGACTTGTCGATAAGGCAATTGTTTAAGTTTTGTAAGAAATCTAATTGTTCACTTTGGCTATTCGGGGCATAAATATTCACCAGTGATAATTTTAGAGAATTCAGAACCCAAGTAATTAGCACGATTCTTCCAGCCTTGTCACTGAATGAGTAATCGATCTTATTTTGTACCGTAGGGTGTAAAAGAATGCAAACACCTTTACTATGCCTGGATCCGTGAGAGAAAAATATTTCACCTCCCCATTCGTTTTTCCAAATAATTTCATCTTCTGGTTGAGAGTAAGTTTCTTGCAAGAAATAAATTTTTGAGTTATGATCTTTGAGATATAGAAAAATGCTCCTCCGTTTGGCTTGATCTCTTATTCCCCTTACGTTTAGAGAAAGTATATCGGATTTTGCTTTCTCTTGCATTACAATAAAAAACAAAAAAAAAACAAAAAAACAAGAAGAATATATATGCAAATTTAAAAAAAAAATACAGAAGCAAACAAAACTAAAATTATACAAAACGTAAATTAAAGTAGTTTTTGAGCGTTTCCCTTCTTCTTCTCCGAACTTTGCGTTTTTTGTTCCTGTCCCAAATGTAAGTTACAGTTTTTGTCTTCCTTGGCCGATTGGACATTTAAAGATAATCTAAGTCTTCCAGCTCGTTAATTCTGACCGGCTTACCCTGCGGAGAGGTCTTGACATATATTGATCCATCCATTGACCAGACACTCAACAATTCATCATTTCTCCGCATCTCGTTTGCCCGATTCATTATTTTTTTTTTCTGTACGAGGTAAGATTCTCGTTTAAAAAAATTCTGTCGGCTTGCACTAGAGTTGACGACGAGCACTGCGGGAAGATGTTAGAAACTCTGACATTTTTTAGCTTAGCCCTAGCCCTGTATAGATTTGTTTTGACCTTGTGGCTTATAAATTTTACAATAATTGGTTTGTTACCCTTCCTGTTCAGCTTGTGACATATTTCGATATCCTTTGGTTCCACCGATACATCTAGGGCCTCCGCTAATTTTAACACCACGTCTTCCGTCTCGGTGTAGGCGCATTCTGGTACACCATGTATTTCTATTGAGTTTTTCCTCGTGTATTGTTCTAGTTTGTCTTGAAGATCGTACAATTCACCAATTTCTTCTTCCTGCTCTTGAATTTTCTTTCTTGCTGCCACCAGCCCGCGTTCTACCTCGTTGTACTGCTTCGTTATATGTTCTAGAGATGATTTCAACGCAGTTATATCATCTGTTTGATGTTGAATTGTGCGCTTGAGATCGGTCATTTCGCTTCTGATTGTTTTGTTTTCGCGTAGGATAGTTGCAGTATTTATTTGAATGTCTACCAACATCTCCCTTAGTTCTGCATTACTGGGCTCACCTTCGGCGTTTATTGCTTCATTTGTCGCTTCCACTAACTCCGCGGCCTCTTCCTCTTGACATTCCGCCATGTTGGCTCTTTTAAGCGTCGATGGTTCTTCTTCCTCCACTGATCCTCGAGCTCCTCGTTTGTGTTTTCCTCCTAATTTCTGTATTTAATACTTCAGCAAGTGTTTAAACGTTGAATTATTATGTCAAGGCGGTATAAAGTTCTCTAAAATTGGCGTAAAGGGACAGAAACTACGCTCCTCACAAAACGTGCCACCGCACACCGACCCCACGCATGCTCTCACCATATTTATGTAATATCAAAATTGTGCCTGATCATGTGTATCCTAGAGGAACAAGAGATGTATTTGTTGCGACCCTTTCTAATCATTCGGTTTCTGTGGTTCGGTGGTTCCTTGCGTTGAAACATCCCGACTAAAAGCCAACAACAGGGAATAAGCTCTTCGGAAGCCAATGAACTAGTGGCCACAATCGGATCTCAAAAAAAGATTTGGACAAGTTGAAAGGACAAAATCGAAGGAACTGATCGGCGAAAAGAGAAAAGAAAGCCAGTACAAAAAACGAAAACACATGATATCATTTTTTTCCGATATTAGTCCGTTTGGAACACGAACGTTTGTTGTGGGCTGATACTGTGGGGTCGTTACCAAAATTGAATTTAAAACTAAAGTACATAATTATAAACGTAATCGGTGATTACAAAGGTAGTCTAATAAACCTGAACTGACCCAAGTAAGGAACCAAAAATAACGACCTGACCTTGGTTGATCAAACGACCGATCATTTTTCTAACGGATACCGTGTGGAACGAAATTTTTGCGGGAGTTTATTTTTGCGGATTAGCGGTTCTTTGTGTTTTGTGAGAACTAATTTTTGCGATTAGGATAGACTGGTTTTCCTTGCTGGGGATCAATTTTTGCGATTTCAGAAAGTGCCCAGTACCCAGCACTGATAATCTGATATTGTCGTTTTTATTGAGTACGTGCAATAGAAATACATCCTGTATTTTCAAACAGTACTAAGTGTGCGTCAGTATTTTTCTGAAAAAAAGAGACCAGTTGAGATTGAACAGACACGATTTCTTGGTACTGTATTCTTGAGTAGTGAATTTAAGTTAGAGCATACAGTATTTCCTCTGGAGTAAGTTTTTGCGGGAAAAATTTCTGCGGTAATTTTTATTTGCGGGAACTTCTTTTTGCAAAGTACTGACAGTCATGAAATTCAGCCGTGAGTGAAATAGTGAAAATGACAAGAAGACAGAGGGGAAAAAATAATAACAGATCAGTCCACTGGGTTTAAAATTGTTTAGCCTGGCACTTTTGTGTAAGCGAACGGGAATGACATATTTATTTGTTCTGGAGCGATGAATTTTTTTTAAAAGCACGGTTCATAGCAAAAATTTGCCAAAACTTTAACTGAGAGCCATTGCTAGATTCTATGGCATTTTTTCTCGTTCCTTTTTTTTCTAGTTCTGTTTGGTCACATGAACCGTGATGTCAGCTTTTTAAGTTAAGACAACCATGTTTAGGCTGTTGTGGACATGTCTCATATTATCTCAGTCGTGACAGATGAAACCTTTATTACACTTGGGTTCAAATGTTATTACGGATAGACCTTTATTACACTTGGGTCCAGTTATTACATTTGTGCCTTCCACAAGTTCCACTGACAAGAAATCCGGATCCCTGAAGTGAATTTGGCCTAAGAGGCAACCAAACATTTAGCCTCCTTGATGGCATTTTCAGGGGAGTCATATTTTCCCATTTATATCAGTCTGTAAATAAAGCGAAGGTCAAATGAGAAAAATTGAGGCTAACGTTGTTGAGATCAAAGATGAAAAAAAAATTCCCACTTTTCGTTTGTGGGGATGCTCATCAAGTCCAAGATTATATCGGCGGGAGAGGCACCTTTGCCCTCAGGCGAGGGCAAAGATGAAACAGTCCAAAGCTAGTTTTATTTCATAAATGTTTTAGCGCACAGCGTGGAAGAATTTCTTTCCTCCTTCCCAAATGCGCGGGGCAGAATTACGTGACGTGACATGCTTTGCATGACTCCACTGAAAGCTGGTTTGCCTGTGGCAGTTCGACAGTTGTCTTCGTTCATTGCCGTGGCGGCAAGTGAAATTGTTACAGTTATAAGTTCAAATTCTTCATTCATTTCCTTCTGGAGGTCTTTCCGAGGAATCGTCTGAGAAGTTCTATGGACTCTTAAACTAACACAGTCTCAGGTGGGTATCGTTTGATTAAAAATTGTTAATTCGTTAAATCGCATAAATCGCTGCGTAAAATTCAGAAAACGGAACAGATTATTCGTGACTTTTGTTGTATTTTTTACCGCCTTGTGGACTTTTTGACACTTAATACTTTATCTCAGCTTTATTTAAAAAATCTATACACATTTCGGACCAATATTGTCTCAAGAAGTTACCGAATAATTAAAGGTTTGGCGCCTACCGTAATTCGCATTTGGTTGTGCTTCGGTCAGAGGTCACGTTTCTTCGCCCGTTTTTAGTGTGATATTTACATTTGCTTCACTTTGTCAGTGCTCGTGATTTCATTTACCCAAAAATTTTATTTCGCTAATTTGAAGAAAAAAGAATGCTCTTTCAGGCTAAACAAGCCTTGGTGTTCAAAGCCATGTACCAATCCGCTTTTTTAGTTCGTGAAAAAGTGCTAAATTTTGACGTTTGATTAAGCGATTTTGAGTCAACAACTTTGAAAATTTCTTTAAAAATCTCTTGTTGACCAAATCGCGAACTAGTCAGTTAAAATTATAGAGGAAAGATAGTAAAAATACGAAGTGTCACTATATTTTAGTTGCCAACTTTATTTTAAAATTTACGAGTTACTGAATATGACTCTAATTTCGCATGATTTGTGCCCATTTTAGGCCTCGGGAAGAAACAAAATTCGTTAAAAAAATATTATTCACTCGACCGTACTCAAACCAACGATTTTGTAACTAGGGCCCATAGGGCTTTATTCTGGCTGAGTTTGAGGCCAGGTCATTTTTTGACTATTTCCACGTCTAGTTGATATTTTCGCGGAGCCGCTCTTAAAGAGACTAACATTTTGTTTAAGCTTACTTCCTCCTCTGAAAGCCTTCTCCATGTTCATCAGATTAGGTCATATTTTAAATTAGTATTTATTATATAGACCTATGTGGCAAATTTTCATACGCAAATGGGTTCTAGCCAATCAGAGGAACGAGCTATGTTTTTCACACGTGAGAAAAATGATACGCCAAATCAGAATAACGCACGAGGTGTTTTTTCACGCGTGCAAAAAAATGACACGTCCAATCAAAGTCTACCGAGTTTCGTGCCAGAATTCTCCCCTTTTATAGGCTTTTGCAGTTTTTAGCGCCATTGCTTTTTCAGAAAATTGTATGTTGAGACTATCAGGTATTTTTTTTTCTTTGCGTAGAAAAGTAAAAAAACTAACATCCCGGAAATTAGAGTAGAATAGTATACAACTATCCCCTGAAGAGAAGTGAATAGCCGTAAGTGCGAGACGCGAAGCGTTGAGGTATATATCCAGCACTGTTCACCAACCCTGAGGGGGATAGTTGTTTTAGAATTTACCAAATCAGGTGGATAAAAATGAAAAAAGTAATTTTTCTCAATTAAAAACATCACTTGGTAGGAACTTTGTTTACAACTTAGAAACATTTCGTAAGTGCATTTTGACGATTTTGTTGCAAATTCAGTACGAAAATAATTTTCTACCTACCAGTAAACACCGACAAGCCAAAGTTTGTCGCTTTCGTGCTATTGAAAGAAAAATGTATTGAAACGAGACGCCATCATGGCACCGTTCGTAAAACAGAGAACAGCCAAGGATATTCCGAGTTACGGGAGCCAAACAAAATGTGCGAAAATTGCTATTCACTGACTTGGTAAATACTAATTTCGTATAATTGACTGTCAATGAGGACAATTGCAGAGAGCAGGCAAAACAACAGCAGAAGTGGAAAAAAAAAACAGAACGAGACTGAAGTTAGCTCAAGTTGTTCTTTTAAACGGCACTTTTGATTTCGCTATATCTAAAAGGCAAATTTTATCATTTTAGCAAAGACCTTAATGAAAGGCTGAAAGAATATCAATGTCTCACTTTGTATATAATTAAAGAGACTGCGTCACGATAGTGCTCATGTGTGAGCTGTGACAGTAGCTGATTGTCTTTGAACCAATCGGAAGCGAGTAAGATGCACGCGGGGAAATTTACATAATTTAAGATTCATTGCTCGCGAAGCGGGAGTCTTCTGGACGTTTATGTTCGATTTTATATATCCCCATAATTCATATTTATTCTCTGGTATTCCTCAGATAATTGTTGCAGCTAATAAGAATAAGATTAACAACCCTGTCCTGCTTTGAAACAAACATTTACCTACGTGTATTTTTACGTACACACGCTAAAAAACCAGTCTCCGATCCGCAAACAAAAATAATTTGTAAACAAACCTTACTGATCTCTCTGTTTACTCTATATAAACTTAGAAATACCTGCAAATAGCTCCTGACCGGTGATCAAAACACACAGTATAGGATGAGGCGAACGTTTTGCTTAAAATGCCAGCCAAATGCGCGCTATAATAAAATAAGCCATGCTATGCGGTCGGCTAGCGCGGTGAACACTCTTCATGAACACTGTAGCTCAGTCGATTGATACCATCTGAAAATCGTAACAGTGTTTGAAAGCAATTCTTCATCATAAAACGCTTTCATTGCAATAGTAGCCACATAACGTATAAGTAGAAAGATTATTCTAAAAGAACAACGCAAAAAAAGGCATAAACAGGAGCCCATCATTATGGCATAAATTTCAACTGCTTATCAGCAAATAAAATATGTCCTTTCGAGTCGTTGCGTAGGGTGTTCCGCAAAACAAACGTTATCGATTCAACAGATAAAGAAACCAGATGTTAAACGGAACATTCAGGGAACATTTTATTTTTAAAAGTTCAATTCTTAAAAATCTACGCTCATACAGAAAAGATACAAGGAACATTCCCAGTGAACTACATCAGTAAAGATCTCGCGGCCTGTTGTCAGTACTTTCTGCTATACAACTACGGATCGGAGTCATAAATCGAATGCCTGTTAAAACGTTTCATGTTCGATGGATTGTTTCCTCAAACCTCACACGACTTCCTGTACAACAAAAGATTGCTGGGTTTTCTCCTTTTGATTCCAGACACTTGATAAACTAAATTGTTGCAGACAATCGGAAGTCATGTCGCAGATAAGCTTCACTCGCCGCTGCGTTCCATTAGTAGTCCACGGCTGTATCGAGGAAACCCTTTTAAACTCTCTTTACATATTTAACGTTTAAAAAATGTCCGTCAAAGGTAGATCGTTGACTGGAGAACCTTAACAGAGAGAAATGAAAGCCAGATGACCACATTAAAGGCCACATTTGATCCGTTTCTAGGAACACTGACAACAACGAACTTGGCTTCGTACGGTTCTCCTCAATGACTTTGAATTTTCTCGATAATACTTGCACAAAAATACAAAATATGGCGTTTAAAACTTCCCAAATGGACCAAATAGCTCTTGAATACTGATATTATGGCTTTCTCGGACGTTTCAGGGTCGATGGAAGAGGATTTCTTCACCAAACGCCAATCTTGAAAAACTGTTCGCTGGAACAGAAATCAAGTAGCCGCACATGCGCAGAAGCGTGTCACAGTCCCTTCAACACAATACCAGATGGAACTGAGTGCTTTAATGCACGGTATTAACGCACTCGTTGTTTTTGTATCAGAAATATCGCTCGTTCGCTGCTTTCATTCGTTCCATCTGAAAATAACGTAATCCGCCCCACCCCTCCGGACATAAAATCCTTGTATTCGAAAACCTCTGTGAGATCAGCGCAGCTCTTTAAGGCCTTTCAGGAGACCTCAGAAAAAAAAAATAGATTTTATATTTGGTACTCAGAAAATAAATATAACTTTTTTATGGTAATTTGTTTCGATTTATTTTACTTTTCTTGAGCCTGATCATTGTGGGTCCATTTTACTTACCAGCAGAGTGTTATGACAATTGATATGGGGGAAAAGACGAGATCGAAACAAAAAATAATGAGTAAAACCTTGTGAAATCTCTCTGCTGAGCTAAAAAAGAAAAATTGTGGCAAGCTCAGCTGAAACGTGCTTTTTCCTTTTAGCTTCTTAACGTTGTATTGCAGATTACAGCGGTTACCACTAACACGCGCCTTTAAAGGGTTTTTTTCTGTCTGTTTAAAGCTGAGTTTCCGTGGACCTCAATCAACTGTTTCCATGGTTTTCCACGCGCTCTGGCAGAGAAGGTTCCGTGATCGCTGAATGAAGGGCGAATAACTTCGAACGACGACGGCTTTTTTAAATTATTTTATTAAGATGAAGGATTACATTGTTAAAAAAACGAGGTCTCTGCGAGCTGAGAGAAATAGCCGAAACATTCTCTATAGTTTACGTAACGGTTTTCAGGTTGTCTATTTATTTGATGTATGAAAACACGGGAGCCGTGGACGACTGAATTGCCAAGAAGCTAGTATAAATTCAAAGAAACAAAAGATATCAAACCGAAAAGGGAAAAAGTTTCCTCTGAATGGAGGCTGTTTTCGAAAATGAATTTTTCTACTTATCATTCTTCATTCTTCTTCAGCAAGAACTCAGACGAGTTGCGAGCGATTGAGAAAGCTTATGTGGCTGTAACTTACAGTGTGTAAATATGTCGATAATTTGAGTTTCCTCCGAGAAACACTCAACAAATTCTTTCTCCTCGTAATCTTGACATGAAGCGGTGTCAGATCCTGCAGCAAAATATCGCAAAAACGGCTGAAACGCCGACATATTCCTCCGAGTGCTCAAGAAACGGAGAAAGAATCTTCTCTAGGCCAAAGCGTGAAAAACCATGGTAACGGTTGATTGACGTCCACCAAAACGCAGGTTTGAACCGAAGAAAAAACCCTTTGAGTGAGCGTGTTAGTGGTAACCGCTGTAAAATCTTTGTTCTGTACCTAATGCTTCGTTATTTTTACTTAAGACTGCTGCTAACGCTAAAATACGAATGTTTATTGAGGGAGACGTTGGGAACCGACAAATGAAATCCGCAATAGCTTGCAGGTCAACCGGCCGTACGTGTATTCAAAAGGCCGAAAAGGGCCATAACATCCGAATGACTAGAAGAGGCAAACAAAGAGTGTGGGTCCATTTAGGGAGGCAATTGGAAAAGTTTGAATAGAAAATTTTTGGTTTTATAAAGTATATTTTTAATGAAAAAAATCGAACGTAGCAAGATTTGGCTCTTAACATTTAAGGCTAGTCTGGTTTTAGAGACAGTTTAATCCTCTCAGACTCTAACCATCGTCTTTCTTTGTATCTTCTTCTTCTCCTTCTTTTTCTTCTTTCTTCCTGTTACTTGCATGCGGTAAGTACATTTTGCGGATTAAACTGCAACTTCTACAGCTGTACATTATACTTCGTTGCAAAGTAAACATGTTTACTTTAGCTTACTTTGGCACAACGATTAACCGCATTCCGAGCTGAAACAGTCTCTTTTGTTTGCTTATTAAATTGTTTAGTGGCGGGCATTACTAAGGGGCATCCAACGAAGATATAGTTCAAAACCACTTAAACGTAGCATTGTTCAACGTCCAAGTTTTAGTATTTAAACGGTAGATATAGGCATATTTTTTATCCCCTAAAAATTTTTTATCTGTTCGGATTACCTAGCTGAAAATCTAGTGATCCGAAACTTATAGGGATCAAAACTTACAACCATTTCGAAAATCTCAGCTAGAAAAAAGGCTCCCGAAAATTCTAGACGACCTTTTTAAAGTAGAAATCCGTTAAAAATGGGCAATTTACCATTTTTTAGATGACTGTTCGAAAATCCTAAGAGAGGCAGGCAAGCAAGAAATTTTACAACAAAGGTTCCGAAAATTCTAAATCTCAAATCGTCTTCCGAACAGATATTTTCCAGAAATGACTTTGGGTGCCCCTGATTACTGAGACGTTTGCCCTCCTGTATAAACGTTAAACGGCAATTACCTCGCTCGTCCTTCTATATGTATGAAAGTTATCTTAAAACTGTAACAAAGAAAACCTGTAATCATACATTATCAAAAAAATACTTTGGAAGTGATTAGATTAAGCTGATCCCGCTAATTGAAAGAATAACAACAAAAGATGGCATCAGCTTATGATAACAAATCCTTGTTTTATTGCTAAAGTATATCCCACCTACAATAATTTCTACCGAAAGACAAAAACTGACAACTTGTATGAAGTAATCACCTAAAAAAGTAAAGTTTCGCTAAGGATTGCGACGCTTTAACTGTTTCAAGCAACATAGTATAAGACCGGGAGATATTTAACAGCATTTTGATGAAGCTGAATTTTTGGATAACAAAGGAATTTCCCCTTTTTTCTTTTTTTCAAAACCATTCCGAAAGTTTTATGGTAATAATTAAAACAACGCTCGTTTGTTATTGCCCAACACATGTTTTCTTTGGCAAAACAGTTAAGTATCCCAAGCTGAAACGCTCAGTCTGCCTTGTTTGTTTATTGAGTAAGTTGCTACGTGCTATAAGACATTTGCACCCGTATAAAATTATGATCACTTGCAGGTAGACGAAGCTATTAGGAGTCTGATTTCTGCAATTGTTGGACCCAAATGGACTTCATAACATTTTCCACTTTCGTATTTCTTCTGGGTATTTCGGTTCCAACTGTGAAAGGTACGCTACCGCCATGCTGTTTTATAAACAATGATTCTAAACCTAAATACAAACATTTTTCCCTGTTAATAAATGCAGGGATAATGTAGTGATTTGCTTGACTTTTCACGGTATCAGAAATTTTAGAGAAAATTCTGCTGGTTACTCTTAAACTATGAGTTTCATTAGTTCGCCGGAAACGTAACCTTCGAAAGCAAATCAAAAGTTAAAATTAATCCTGCAAACACTTTAATTTGTATTTTTTTCCTTTCCATACTCTTAGGACGACATAATTATTAGAATTACGAAATAGAAGTATGAGTGCTTAGGAAATTTAACGACACAACCGCCCTTTTTCCATTCCGTTTGGGTAACTAAATGACAAAATTAGACAGTGACAATTAACACGAGGAGCCGCAAGGGGTGATATTTTTGCACGGCATCTGGCGGCACATCAAAGAATTTGGAATTGAAGGGCAAATTCCTAGAATATCTTCGCCAGTTAAGCTAGAGAAAAGGTGTTAAAAAACCTCAGGATCCAAAACAACACGTCAATCAAAATATCACTTGGACCTTTTCGCTAATGAAGAGCTATCACGCAGCTAAGCTTGAATTAGACATATATTGAAATAGGAACTCGTGTCAATAAAGTATCAGAAGTGAGCGGGAATCGCTCCTGGTTAAAAAACTGGTTCACAGGGATATGCATCTCTTCTAGTTAAGAGAAGGGAATCAGAACTGCTTTTCATGCAGGAACATGTTTTCTTCGGGCTAACTACAAAACCTCAGCTTATTTCACTCCTTGACATTGTCAAAGCGCATTTTGTAAAGATAACCTTTTTCCTCTTTATGAGCTTTTTTTATATTCTATTCCATTAATGTTTAACCTCCCTCAAAAAGCCAAGTAATATAAATGCTGTTGTTAAAAAAAAGCGTTTTACTTGTTTACGTGAATTCGCTACCCAAAGATCACTATGCTCAAAGGACAGGGCAAAATTTCCAGGAGAGAGGCATTAATTTTTTTCCCACGAGGTTTCAAAGAGAAAATGCAATGATTATTATTAATGTAACCATCAGGTATACTCTACCCACGAGTTTACGGACAGCAAATGCAGTGATTATTATTAATGTAGCCATCGGGTATATTCTACCCACGAGGTTACAAAGAGAAATGCAATGATTATTATTAACGTAACCTTCAGGTATGTTCTACCCACGAGGTTACAGAGAGCAAATGTAGTGATTATTATTAAATGTAACCGTCAGGTATATTCTACCCACGAGGTTACAAAGAGAAAATGCAATGATTATTATTAACGTAACCTTCAGGTATGTTCTACCCACGAGGTTACAGAGAGAAAATGCAGTGATTATTATTAAATGTAACCGTCAGGTATATTCTACCCACGAGGTTACGGAGAGCAAATGCAGTGATATTATTAATGTAACCATCAGGTATGTTCTACCCACGAGGTTACAAAGAGAAAGTGCAGTGATTATTATTTACGTAACCTTCAGGTATGTTCTACCCACGAGGTTACAGAGAGCAAATGCAGTGATTATTATTAAATGTAACCGTCAGGTATATTCTACCCACGAGGTTACAAAGAGAAAATGCAAAGATTATTATTATCGTAACCTTCAGGTATGTTCTACCCACGAGGTTACAGAGAGCAAATGCAGTGATTATTATTAACGTAACCTTCAGGTATGTTCTACCCACGAGGTTACAGAGAGCCTGCAAATGCAGTGACAATTATTAGATTTTAGTGCAACTATCAGGTTGAGTTCCTCCATTAAAAGAGTTTTTTGCTAGGGTTAAACAAGTTTGGCTTTCATGAGTTCCAAGGTGCAAGAAATTATCAGTATAATTATAGCACACAAACATTGTCATCTAATTTTTCGCACGTAGCCGGAATAAGCCAAGAAATGAAGCATATATAACGAAAAATCGTTCTCAGATGATCTCCATATTAAATAAATTATACTAAACGTTGCGAAAGAAATTATTGTTCGTATCCGTCTTATCCATCGTAAAAGCGAGGGGTCATCGCATGACATCCGGTATATTAAACAGAGGTAATACTCACGGGTTTCACGAGTTGTATGCACTATTTTTCGCCGAGAAACAAATTTAAACTTCAATTCTTACCTTACAGTAGTCCGTTCTTTTACCTTGCATTCGACAACAAATCTGTTAAAGGCGAACAAAGCGATTCCGGCACTCTTCTTTATGATGAGTAGCAAGCCGCAGGAACTGAAGCCGCTTGACTGAAGTAAAATCCACCGATATGCACGGCATTCTCACTACAAATATAAACAAACGTTGCGGGGAAAAAAAGACGAGGAGGAAAAAATGCCAGATCTTCGCCTGGGCAATGTATTCCAGCTACCATGCCGGCGTATTTCCAGAAGGTGGACTCGAAGTGAGACAAACCTTGTGAATTTTTTTAGACGCCCTTTGCGCGCAAACTAATTTATTCTGGCGCGAAATGAAGATTAACAATAGGTATACTGAAATCTAATCCACGACAAGAAGATTTTCGCACTGTAGCGCGACATATTAAATGCCTATTTTTACAAGTACGCGGAGAAAGTGGTCCACTAGTTTAACTTTTTTAAGATGAATTTACTCCACAAAGGCAAAATGAATGTTTTATCTCTATGTTGTTTACGTGCCGGATTAGAAGGCAGAAGTAAATTCATCATACAGACCCCATCAAAATGAAAGTACACGAATGAAACGGAATAAGTCTGGAACGGTTTAGTTTCTACTCGGCAGCTTCTTTGCTTTTATAACAAAAATTTAATGTTGCAGTCTGTTTTAAACGTTGGCATATCAATGCGTACAGTCACTGAATGAAAACAACAGTCACGATCACGTTCTTCGAAACCGACCAGACGCGCGCGACCTACCACTGTTATGGCAAGCAATTATCCTGAAGGTGTTAATGTTCCCGTGACAGTCTTCGCACTGAAGGTGTAAATGGTAAACCGAACGGTCGCTTTGATCATCAGAAAGACCTGTCAACTTTGATGATTTAACTGATTAAATTACGGGACAGAAATTTTACTCCTTGCGGCTCCTCGTGCAAGATTCATCGGGATCTTCAGACTTAATTACACTATGACTTCTATCAGAAAGCTGTCGATGTTTTTGGCCGATGGAGGGGTAGAAACCAATGATTTATTCAAACTGGACATTTTATGAGGCTTTGTTTCATGTGGAGGCATTTGGGTCCGATCTATATTCGATAGAATAAAGAAATATTACAGGAACCGAGTAGTAACGTATTTGAGCAAGTCAATTTAGTGCAACTGTTGGATACTACTAGACAGCAATTCTTGTTAGGACGGTTCTTGTTTCTTTCCAATTCAATCATAATTTTTGAGAAAACGTTGGCCTATGATTTTCATTTATATCCTATTTACATAAGGACCCGTTGCAGCTTGAAGGTTATTTTCTAAAATTCATCGTTATAAAGGCATTTAAGAAATATAATAACTTTAACAACATTGTAGGGTTAATGTTCAAATTGTCGTCAATTTAATGTAACATTTTGATCGTGTTTTCTCATTAAAGGGATCTCCTATCAGGTTGGAAAAGTGAATGTCTCAGAGACACGTCGAGGATGGAACTGTAACAGCGGACGTGAGGGGCCAGAACATTGTACTCTTCCACGTTGTACCAGCGTGGTTTTTCCCCAAAATTTTAGTGGATCTGGCACCGTAAGTGTACCTTAAGGAACACTCACTGATAAGTTCGCTTCAATTTATGGGTAGTAATCAGCGACTGTCACGCCTCAGTTTGCTTTTTTCAAGTTCCTTGAGTATTTGCTATCTCTAACACCAAAACGGGGTAGTTTTTATGACGTTGGTTAAGAAATGCACGCTTAAGATTGACATATTTCCTTTTCACAATCCTATTCCGTTATAATATTCATCATAGATTATCTTCTTCCTCTAATCCTCAACTAAACGTAAGCAATTCTGCGAAATATGAAGTTACCGTAAAATTCCGAAAATAAGCCCCGGGGCTTATATTTTTCAAAGGCCCTTTTTGAGGGGCTTATTTTTGGAGGGGCTTATATTCGGAGGGGCTTCTCTACGGAGGGAAATTTGCGTTTCAAAATCGATTGGGCTGGCCTTATAGTTGGAAGTAAATTTATCGTTTTTGCTTTGTTTTACTTTGTATTTGAGGGAAATTTTCCAAGTACAAGCCCCCGGGGGGCTTATATTTGGAGGGGCGATTTAACGGAGGGTTTTTTGCGTTACCGGTTTGGCGGGCTTATATTTGGAGGGGCTTATACATGGAGGGGCTTGTTTTCGGAATTTTACGGTATATGGAGATTACAATATAATAAAAAGGAGGTACCCAAAGTTCGAGTTCAGTACGTCCATTGTGGACATAAGTAAGATTTGACTCCAGGAAAATATAAGCGACAGTGTTAGCCCAGGCATGGATAAGGTACGTAAAATTCCTAGTCAATTTACTTTACGAAATGCGGATATAAACGATCAATAAGATTCTTCCCTATTGAAAAAGGCGGGAATCGAAAATTTCCACTGATGTATGTCTTAAACTGAAATACTTTAGGTTCGAGTATTTGTGTCGTTGAGCCATGAAGATACGCCGCCTTCTAAAGTTCATTCACCTTCGGCCGTTTGGGCAGAGTCAATAAACACTGCTGGATTTCAGTTATGTTCGCGTGCTCCAGGTTCCACAAATAACACTGGAATAATCAACTGGGTAGCGTTCCAGAACAAACCAATGTTAGCACATGGGAGTGTCACTTTTAGGGGAATATGGACCACGGAAGCCAAATGCCAGAAAGAGGCTTTTTCTCCGGTCAGACAAATAGATCTATTGCAATAATTGGACTTGGAATAACGCCATGGTAGGTATTACTAAAACATTTAATATTTATTCTACTATTCGAAATGTGTATTGTTGGACAGTCAGGATTAGGAGAGGGTACAGCTCACACACTAGTTTCGCTCGTATGGGGGTTTAGTGCTGAGACCCACCGATCTCGAAAAGCAGATCATAGCGGAAAGTGAAGTAAATAAATAAAAACCAAGAGAGATTCTCTCTTGTGTGCCATTAGTGCACTAATTAACAATTATTATTCATTTAAAATATTCCCCCGATTCTGATTGGCTAAAAGTACACGCATAATTCACCATAACCAGTTACTGATGACCAAATTTGGAAGAATTTAATGAGGAAATGACGTCAAAAATGCAGCGTTCATTCAGGTTAAGGCACCGTTAACCGAGAAGACCTGGGGACGAGGTTGAGTTGTTTTGGTTGTGAAAACGAAAAATGGCGGACCTTTCACCCGTTTCAAGAGTAAGAACTAGGCGAAAAAATTGCTAAAAACATGGCAAGAACAGCAAGAAGACAACTCGAAGGGCGACATCTGCTATTTGGAGAATATTTGCGAAGCTGGACAAACCTAAACATGCACTATCGAAGATGAACATAACATCGATGGATCGATGGAGGTAAGCATGTTTTAGCCATGTTTTTAAACTAGGAATTATTTTGCATGAATAACAAAACAATTATTGAATTCGGCTTCCGCATCATATGAAGAATTATGGAAATCTCGGAGGGTGTTATCCGCAACACCCTCCTCGATCTCCATAATTCTTCATAGGATACCCAGCCTCATTCATTAATTGTTAATTATTCCTCGGGCCTGAATGGGATATTGACTCAGCGACCATGAGGGGGCGAGGAATAGGTGTTTTAGTAAAAGCCAACTAGTTGGTAAAAAATATCGACACAAAACATGTACAACTTAAGTCAGCAAAACGCGATTCAGCCATTGTTTTGGTTTTCAAAGCCGGCGCTTTTCGCTACAAGTGGGCTATAACATATAGCCTAGAAGTAGCTCAACCAATCAGAACGAAACATTAATAATAGACAACTAGTTGGATTTTACTAATACTGGATAGCGCCCGGGCGCTTATTCGAGGAAATACAACATTTTATAAAGTGGTTATGCATACTCTGCTAAGTATCACGGGAAGTATCTAACAAGTCTTGATTTCGTTTGGTTGTTTTCTCATCCATCATGCTTATTGCCCGCGCGTTTTATCGTCACAAGAATTTCCTTTGGGAAAACCGTATCGTGTAAATTGACCGTCGCCGAAGAGTATTGCGTAATAAAACTGACCTTAAAACGGTAAATTAAGGGGCATGCAATAACTTCTGAAAAGGGTGAAGGGTGGTTGCGAGTTTAAATTAGCTTGGGAAAGAACGTTTACCAAGCCTACTACTGTAGTCGAATTTGACTACTAACTTTCGAATTTAAATGTAAGAGTATCAAGTCGATGCATAATATTCTGCTCATTCGAGGTTTGTTTGCAAAGTATTGTTCCTGTTTTTTCAAATAATCCTGGATCCCTCATAAATTTAATTGTATACTTCTTAAACGTTAAGTAAAGGCGACACGCGGCGTGTCGCCTTTTCTCGCGTGGGGTGATTTTCACGCGCGCTCGCGTTTCGCACGCTCTACTATCTCTGAGGAAAAATGGGGGACTACTCGTAGTCTAGGATTGATGGACTTCTTTGTTTACTGTTGTAAGGAAATTATAAGTATTTTAATAACAGCTTGGCTTTTACTCTTGGCTCCCTCTTTATTATAATTATATTCATGTAACCTACATTATTTTGTTTCTCAGAGCTTTGCTTCTAGGCCACAGGTGTTTGTTTCCGTTAAGTATACTCGTAACATAAAGCCAAATGATGCCATGTACTTATGGTTAGAAAACGTGAATTCAGGAGGATTTGAGGTCTGCATTAGGGAATTCTTGCCTTTTGATGGAAAACACCAAGATACAGTTGTGGTAAGTGAACTTAAATTTTCTCCTGCAGTCGAGTCTCCACTTGATCTGATCACCCCTGGGGTACTCGGGTAGGTTTAAGGTGGGTATGACGGTTATTATAAGTTTTTCGGTTTACAACCATCGTTTATGTACTTAACGCAACTCAGAGACACTTCAACTGACATTCTTGTTCACTCTGCACTCAGCCATGAATTTAGTTCACTAGGTAGTTGAAGAAAGCCTATTAATATAAGCTTCAAGCTTCGTTAGGTTTCCTTGTCACATTAATTTTATAATTTAATTAACTACTTTTATTCATGTTGTATAAGGTTTTGTGAGTGACTGAATAAATAAATAAATAAATAAAATAATAAATCTGTTTCCCGTAGATCAATCCTGACTCTTGTAAGCATCCTCCTCCTAGAATTGACCAACGATACTTGGCCTTTTGAGGGTCACTGACCGGAGGCTCCACTGTCGTGATCACGGGTGACGCTACGTACGTACGGCAACCTCATTTCCAGGGCCTTTCTATAACATTTTCCAACCGCCAAGCTAACATGTGTGAGAATTAAGAAACATTCGCAAACATCCGCCTGGGTCCCCTTGGACAGTTATATCTATTTATCATTGTTCACATGATAACACCATATAACGCTTCTCTACCGCAGAAACATCATAATGGGATTCAATACTTAAGGGTGTTGGTCCGGTCACAACATTATAAGGCAGCTGCTAAAAGAACAACAACAACAATGGCAGTTGTCAAATAGAATTGAACAATGTGGAAATGACTTCACGAGTGAATTTACGTGCCAACATAAAGTAAATCCACTGTACGCGCCAGGATTGACCAAAACGGAACGACAGTAAAAAACAAAAGTCGATTGATTTGAACAGAGAGTGTTTTTTACAAAATTATCGAAGTAAGCGTGACTCGAATTGTGTGCTATATTGCCGAATTGTACTCTTCTCCGGTAATCTGTCTCTTGTAAATGAAAAATCTGCCAAGTCAGTAGCTTCATAGAAAAGAATTGACTTGTAAAATCTTGTTATCTTTTTCTGCAGGACTGGTTCGCATTCGTTGGCAGTGGAAGTCAACTTAATTTTACAATTACAGGGAAACAATTATTTCCAAACAGTGGAAACCCTTCATCCCAAAACAACTACGGCTTCTGTCAGGTGAGAAACTGAAACGTCCACTTCAAGACTCAATCCCGCTTTATCTTCAACAACAACAGCCTAGGGGGGCCTAGTGGGGGCCTAGTAGAGGGAGGGGGGATTTTTTGCCTTTGCTGTTTTAAATTGTTTTGTTTAGTTTTCCGCCGTTGTTCTTGGACTGGACCCGGCTTATCTGAAGAGGGGAAGAAAAGGGGGAAGGTGTACTGGGGCTAAATAACATTCTTTAATGATTCATTAGACAAATATATATAAAAAAAATGGTAAAAAATGGTCCTTTGCGGCAATTCAAGACTCAACTTTGTACTTAAACTGCTCTACCATCTGCTACACGTTTACACAAAGTATTCGACAGCAACCAGACTATGAATGTATTAAAGGAATATATCTCGTCTAATAGAACGGAGGGAAATGAGGTCCAGGCCGGTTATGACTACTTTCGGGGTTTATAAATTTTTGGCAGACTGAGGCATATGAGAATTGTGGTCATTTCGACGCTTGAAATTAAAGAGAGGAAGTACGGTATTTAGATTGTAAGAGACCACTTTCTCATTTATTCGGCACTTACTGGTCTGGGCTGGGTTGGATGGATAACCCAGAGTTAGTCTGAAATTAAAATTCACACATGAGAGCTTGAAAGGTTAAATCAGTTTATAATTATTTTTATCTGTAATTTGATGTTTGGATACTCAGAAAAAAAATGGAAAAAATTATACAAAACAAAAGGAAACCCAGAGGATAGCCCCAATCGTCCTTCAAACAACTGGGCCTTGGCTTGATTAGCTATTTATCTTTTTAAAGGAAGTGCCTTTCAATACAACATTCTACAAATCGCCAGTTGTGATTCTTTCGGTGGGTCATGGATATGATCGGAAAGTCAAGAGTTTCCGTCTTCCAGAAAACAACATCATTTCAGCCTGGATGGAGGTAGGTCTGAACATCTGTATCCTCTATAGTCACGTGCAAGAGAACTTAAAAGTGTCTATCATCTCTTTTCACGTGTAATCAGGGAATGGCCATTCTCCAGCGCTTTGTTGCACTATTTCTTGTTCATGTATTAGCATTGATTGATCCAAATACCTGGTTTTCCCTATAGTGAGGTAATGCAGGTACTATGTTTCTTCGAAACCCGAGAAAAAATGAAGTGATTTCGTGCGTTAGTTAAAGTTTTGTTGTTAAAAAGTAGGAAACAAGGTGGATGAGGCCAAAGGTTTTAGAAAATGTTCAAAGGTCATAGGTGGCTGTATGCCGCGTTTGCTCAGTGTGAAAACTTCGTATCACTTTCTCTACAGGAAGTTGGGCCGGAGACCATGAAGATTTGTGTTAAAGATCTAAGTGGATCAGGATCGAGTCATGATCCCTTGACGGTCAGCTATGCTGTTACTGGTGTTAGGTGTTTTAATTGAGTTTAATTGAGACTCTCATGATATTCAATAATAACTGAAGGAGGCTAAGTGTAATAAGAAGAATAAATGATAAGAAGATAGAGGGCATCGAGTGTCATGCGGCCTAGATGGATAACACTTACCTGCATCTTCGTAATTCTTCACATTAACAGGGTTAAGAATCTCAACTGGCCGGAGGTAAACCAGGTGGCTATATTTACAAGCGTGGCTGAGGATGTTCAACACAGGACTACCGTGAACTAATCCAGCTAGCGGTCAAAGCAGGAATTTCACTCAGGGCCTCCGAATTGAAAGGCTAGCCCTCTAACCACTCGGCAGCGCTGCCGATATGTTAGCATCTTCAAATTTGGTCGGCGCCCTCTCTCCTCCGCAGAGGCTTCCGCTGGGTATGCCTAGAAAAAAAGAAGAGGCCTCATAGGAGGAGAGATGTCCGCGCCAGTTGGTTATGAAGATAAGCTGGGGATTAGAGCCCATCAGAAGATTATTAATATACAGAATGAATATAAAATGTAATTAATTTTTAAGTTTCGCAGAACCAAGTAAAAGAGACGACAAATAATAATTTCTTAAACCCATAAGCACACAAGTACATATGACGAGAAAATACCCTACCTTAGTGGAAAAAATAATATAACTAATGAATTGTTTCTTGGTACACTAGACCTGAATCCATGCCTGAACGTGCATTGCCCTAGATTTGGAGTCTGTAGGACCTACAGTGCACACGACGCTCGGTGTGAGTGTAATGACCAATGCCCCTCATATCAAGATCCCGTATGCACTGCAAATGGAACAACATACGACAACCAATGCTGGCATAAGTTAAGCTATTGCAGAGCACTTGAAAATAATCTCGTCTATCACCCAGGAAGCTGTGAAGGTAACGATATGCCACGTGAAAAACATGGACGGTATAAATTCAATTTACATGGTGCAATTTTTGGTTTAAAGAAGGTTGTCACTATTGGATATGCCCATTTGCCCTTGCTTAGTCTTCCCATCACGTCGTCCGTAGTTGATTTATGAAATAAAAATGAAAATGAAATCCAAACGATGTTCTCACAACTTGCAAAGCGATCAGCAGGGCCCTTGATGGCGGATTTGTGCACCGCTTATGCGCATTACGTCAAAAACAATAGATCAACGGTCTTGAGAAGGAACAAAAACATGGCGGTCCAAGGCGGGACTGTTTCTCACTATTATATTTTGGTAATTCGCAAATTTATTGATTTTATGTCGCTTTACAGACATCATAGGTGTGTGGTTTTCTTTTTCTGTTAAACAATTTCCCTCTGCAGAGTTTGGAATATGCAACATATCGCTCCGTACAGCTGATAAGAACCGCCGAAGAGTTGAGCTATAGAGTAGTGTTTTGCTGCAAACCTTAGGAAAGTTAAAGTCGCTTCAAGGTACAGAGCTTTCAGTAGCAGCTGTAATTTGTTTATTAGGATCGTTTGAATTTTAACTTTGAATTCAAGGTGTTGACTAATCGTAATATACGAAGTGAAATGTTAAGTTATGAAGTGTGAATGTTTATTCAGTTATGATATGTAGAGCTGTAAGCTCACATTTATAAAGCTCTCTTGAATATACTTTCTTCCGATAAATTTGACACTTTCTCCAGTAATTTTTCTCAGCATCATGTTGTCCTCGCCCGGCAAAGACGATGTAACCCATAAATCGATCGAGCGCGTTGTGGTTGGTTAAGATCTAACACGGTTGCGTTTTATTTTCCCCCGCAATTTCAGTACCGAAAGACAAATTCAAAACAAAGATGCCTAATATTATTTTTTTTCAATTTTTTAATCATTTCTGATTTCCTCTGTCGGTTCGCTTCTTGCGACTAAAAATATTTACTGTGAGAAAAATACTGCAATTATCCGCTTTCCACCACGCAGGGTGACCGCTTTGCAAGTTGTAAGAACATCGTTTCTCGTTCTCAGACTTCGTCTTACCGGGTAGCTGTTTAGGCATGAGGCGATACCTACAAAAATTGCACAGTGGAAGAAGAAAGGGTCAATAACCGGTCTCTTCCCTCTTCGTGCTCATGCAGCGCCTAAGTGGACTTTGTATCCTTTCCATGACGCCAGCATGACAGAGCATGACTGGAGGAAAAACTGACAAAAAAGCAAGATTCAAGTTGACCTCCCCCTCCCCTCACTCCCTCTGAAAAAAAAAATGCATGATTCGAATTCGTTTTTGCAGGCTATACTACTGTTACGTAGTACTGGTGGCATGACAATTGTTGTGATAAATAAAGAAAGATGGTTGATTTTAAGCTCTGTGAAGAAATGAGAAGCGTTGTGATCAACATATCACGAGCACCGAACAAAGAAAAAAACTGAGTCCCCGAGAGGAATTGAACCTGAGACCTTCCGTACACCGCTCAGATACTCTAACCACTGAACTACGATGGACTCGTGGCGAGCCGGCCATATACATATAAATCACACGAATCTGTATATGGCCCAACTCGCCACGAGTCCTTTGTAGCTCAGTGGTTAGAGCATCCGAAATCCGACCGGTGTACGGAAGGTCAATTCCTGTCGGGGACTCAGATTTTTTCTTTGTTCCGTGCTTGTGACATGTTGATCATATCACTTATCGTGACTATTGTTGTTTCTTGTTATTATAGAACTGGTTTGCCTTCTCAAATTTGCACAAACCCCTTTTCACCGAACATGGCTACATACCGTTTCCAAATAAGAACCCACCATTCGATGAAATGAACAACGCATACTGCGAGGTAAGAATGGCACTTTACATTTTTCATTTTATTTATTTTATTTATTTTAATGAATTTTTATTTTGTTATGTATTACATTTTTTACACACTGACCCTTATGAACACGTAGGAAAAATACAAAAAAAAAAAGAAAAGAAAACTAAGCATATATACATCGCAAACTCGCACAGAATTACATACTGATGAAAAAGAAAGAGAGAAAGAAACACACTCCTTTACATTCTTCTCTATTTACATGAAAAAATTAATAATAATTAATAATAAATGAAGTAAGCGGCGAAAGGATCGTATGCTAATCAGATTTAATTAATTTAATTAATTTTACAAAATTACACTAACGAAATTATGCGTTATTCAGGTCTTTTCGAACCAAATGTTTGCTCAAGTTCTTTTAATTTTCTCCGTAATGTTTTTTGCATATTTGAGGAAAACATATGCAGATTGATGATTAAATATGAATCCCAAACGTATTGCTGGTCCAATTCCTAAATCTCAAATCAAACCAACAGATTCTAAATTTTATTGTTCATCAATAAACAGTGTTTAAAGCATTGACTGTATGTTTGTTTGTAGTTCGTTTTATTCACGAGAACTTATAACTCGACTCCGACGGTACTTGTCTCCGTTAACCACAGCACTACAGTATCTGGGAATTCAGCATCGATTCACAATGGAATTACCGCATGGATCGAGGTAAAGGTCTCCCAGAGGAATAGTATTATTCTAGGGCTGGATCTACAAAGTGCCTACCGACAAACTGACCCTTTTATTATGTACGATTTGAGAAATTTCTGAAGTTCCTTTCTTAGCATTATACAGTGGTTATTTGCTCAAATTGACATTAACGATCCTTTCGCATTTATTTCTGTGTATAACACGTCGAACAAGAAAATTTAAGACCACTTTCAACCTAGCCCAAGAATCTTCGAATTTTTTTTTTTTTTTTTTTTTCGGCTTCAGTTTTAATTTTGTCAAGTTTATGTTTTCAGAACATGAATACGTCCGGATTCAGGGCCTGTGTGAAAGAATTATACGAGACCAGATATGATCCGTTGTCTGTCAGTTATACTGTACTCACAGGTCTGTAATCACTATTTCATCTGAAAATAACGGCTCTTAATTTTTGTAGGCGCCGATTTTCATGATCACTCGTGTAAATCGCTCCCTCTCCAAAAAGAAAATTCGTGAAGGTAAAAGGCGGAATTTTTTTGCGGAATGGCATAATAGACCTTTTTACCGATACGGCGGCCATATTGAATTAATTCGATTTTAGGAGTATTATAGGATGCCCAGGGGGCATGAGAACATTTCGTTTGTATTTTCGAGCGCTTCTCGGGACATTTTTTCGTAACGTTTTCTTAGAATAAGATTGTAATGGGAAAAAAGATCCTTGTGACGTGTTTTGATGTATATAATGATCGCTCTTTTCCCGAGAAATATACAGTGAAATTAAGAATTTGTTCATGCTTAGCGTGCGTATATCGAGTTATGGATACACGCGGGAAGTTTGGAGAGCACGAAAGATAAGTAAGAGTTGCAAGAGGCGATAGCCGAGTGCAACTCTAGCTTCTTGAGTGCTCTCCAAACTTCCCAAATGCATCCATAACTCGATATACGCACAGCTAAAAGCATGAGCAAATTTTTTTATAACATAGCTGTCAAAAATGCTTGCTTTTCGATTAACTACAAAATTCTCGTAACGCGCGACACAATAACAAACGCTTCTACTGGCTGATTACAAACACGCCACAATGGTTTAGTTTGAATGAAAATTCTTTCTGTAAAACTGAGAAAGAAAATTTGCTTATTTATTCGTTAATTATCAACGGAAACTAAAAAGAAACTCTTAAAGTCCACCTAAAGTGAAAATACTCACATGTTCGTAAGAAGTCGTGGAGTATGGTTTGGATTTGCTTGAAAGATGTTTATGTTTGCTTGGCGAAATCCAGAAAACTTGTTTTTCAGCGAAGACGACTGTCATCCTACGTTAACCTTATATTCATTTACGAACAATGGCTGGTCATTACGGCTTCTTGAGAAGACCTGGCAGCAGTTGTTTTTATGAGCAATAAATTCATGTCTTCTCGTGTAATTTGTCTTGTTATTGCAAGTGAAATTTTCCTGCTTCAGTCGGATTGTTCGGCGATAACAAAAGTGTATAATTTTTTTGCTGTTGAGCTTACCTTATAATTAACTTGTTTTGTAAGATATAAAACAAACGTTAAAAACGGAGGACACTTTGTACAAATTGGATATTTTCCGACACAGACCAATTTGTGGTCTTAACTTTTCCCAAGTAAATGTCAGCCTTTACGGCAGACTTTCAAGTTTCAACAGGCTCTATTATTTGCGAAACATGTCACCGCTTTTGCTGTTGCTTTGAGTGGCTAGAACGAAGCTAAATTCCAAAAAAAGTCCAGAACGTTTTTTATCATTGCCGTCGATTTTTGGGTACTTAGGAAAAGGGAAGAAAAACACAGCTGAACACGTCATCTTATTTACGCACGGGTGTGCGTAAATAAAGATTTTGTTCATAGCGGCTCAATAGGACTTATATAGGGCAAGCACGCGCGCTATGTTATTTTTATAAGACCATATTTCTAATACTGAACTAGAAAAAGGCGATCATCATTACATCCAAACACGGCACAAGGATCTTTTTTCCCATTACAATCTTATTCTAAGAAAACTTAAGAAAAAATGTTCCGAAAAGCGCTCGCTCGAAAATACAAACGTAATGCGCTCATGCCCCCTGGGCATCCTATAATACTCCTTAAATCGAATTAATTCAATATGGCCGCCGTATGGGTAAAAAGGTCTATTACACTGTATGTGAAATGTATGCAGAACGACTCAAGAATATACATCGATAACGGCAAGGGCGAGATTTCATGTTTCAATTCTCAGGAATTCCCCGTGAGACTCACTCAAAAATTAAAGTGGTTAGTGGAAACTGAAAGCTTGGCAAAAGCTAAGTTTCATTTTAGCAGGCTATTTTAGCGGTTTCATGTTAAAAAATATTGTTTACTTGTCTGGTCAAGCATTCTGAGGAGGGAATTAAATACAGTATTTATCATGTTCGTGCAATGCAGAAAACAATCTGATTTCAGCTAATATAACGTTTTGCCGTGCAGTTCTTTGAAGCCATGTAAGGAATCGATCGCTCTCTTTGATCGTCGATTAACAGTTGTTTCAGTGAAAATTCGACGATCGACAATAATGCTAGAAACAGTAATCATATATTAGAACACTGACAAACAAACGAAAGGCTCAAATGAAGAGTTTCTCAAAAAAGACAATACGCAATGGCCCCCGAAGAGTGAAGCACCGAGAGTCATGGAAAACAAATGAAAAGAAAGATGATTTTTTGGTTTTAACTGGGTTTATGATGATCATCTGATTAAAAATGGCCCTGAGTAATTCACAAAATGTGGAGTAAGTCAAACAAGTATCACGCCCGAAAAAAATACTTTGCAGAAGCTTATTTCACCAGACACGAACTGAGCAAAGGTTTAAAATCGTTTCCAAAACGAACAATAGATTGATATAAACGAAAGGCGGTGTCCTCTCAAAGTGTAGGTAGTGTAAAGACCGTAAAACTAAACTCAAGGACATGGTTAACGGGTTTTTATAGTCTAGTGCCAGTCGTTCACTCTCTTGATTAGATATAAAACTCCATTTACCTTCTTGCTCCCAGCAACGATTGCTTTGACCCGGCCTAATCAAATCCTCGCGCTTAAATGAATTTTTTATCAGACCGGCTGTTCCTTCCAGTTTACTCGAAGAATTAAAGCCGAAAGTGCTCTTACCACATATATTCAGAATAATTATGCCATTCCGCAACTGGCACGCCACATGCCATTCCTCAAGTTAAGCCCGCGCATTTGACCCTCACCGAATGAAAATGGTGAATAACCTTGTCTAGACAATACGTTTCCACATCGTTCACGTTTATTTGAGCATTAAAATCCTAACAAAAAGCTATTAATCAAGCAATTTATACACCCTTAGCTTAGGGGCTATTGACGAACGAGTTCATGCCATCTCCACCTATTTCTGTACAAGCCATTTATATTCCGAAATGAATTTTTGATTCCGAATTAAATTCTCGCTCTGGTACGAATTTTAATTCCGTTTTTTTTTTTTTAACGAACTTTATTCTTGATTGAAAATCGCAAATCGTGTGGTCTGAAGCGAGTGGCGCATGAGCTTCTGATCTGGCGCGAAAACCTGCGCCGTTCAATTTCAGTTATCACGTGAATACAGTATGAACTTCACTCTGGAACGAACCCCATTCCGGAATGGAAATCATTCCGGCAACATTATAAACAGCCCCTGAGCTGGGTGCATTATATAATTATGTATTTTGCAGATATCTGTGAGCCTAGTTGGACCTATTTCAATGGCTTTTGCTACTTAACAAGTAAGACTTGTCAAAACTGGACCACCGCACGATATAATTGCCGACAAGAAAACTCGGTTCTTGTTGATGTCCAAAACAATGAAGAAAATGTATTTTTACAGCATCTTCACAATGGAGAAAAATCCTGGCTAGGATTTAATGACATTTTCACAGAGGGTTCCTGTACTTGGGTAGATGATGGTACAGGGAACTTTACAGCTTGGGCCAAAAACCAACCAAACAATTTTAGGGATGAAGACTGTGTGCATACACTAGGTGTTGAATACAAATACAAATGGAATGACGTAAAATGCAGTGACTGTCATCAGTATACTTGCAAGAAAGGTAGGACATGAAAAATAAAACAAATGCAACGTGTATTTTATCATGTATCGGTGGGTGGGGGAATCAATAAATGAATTAAATGATTTGACTATTTTCACTTTACCCATAAAACACGCTGTTTACCTCCAAAACTTTCCATAACCATCTTTTCCAATTTCTCAGGTATTATACAGACAATGCTTATACAAACACTTTTTGGAGCGGGAAGGGGGGTGTAAACAGTAAACAAGGTGTGTAATGGTCATTGTGAAAATCATGGAAAATAGTGAATGAATTAATCTCTGAAACAAAATGTGCATTGTACTTAGTTCAATTTTCTGCTAATAAGTAGTCTTTGTTTCATTTAACAGATCTCAATGAGTGCAGCAGGGATAACTATTACTGTCATCAGGCTGCCACCTGCACAAATTATCGGGGGTCATTCAAGTGCACTTGCGACAAAGGCTACTTCGGGGACGGTTTTGATTGTGCAAGTATAGTCACCGGTTTGTATCTAAACTTTCTTCTTTCTTATAATTTTAGAAGGGAAAAAACTTAAACAGCTTAAATTGATTTATGGAAGGTACCAGCCTCACAACCCGTGGATACAAGTGCAAATTGCCAATGCTCCCTCCCTGGGTCAAGTGAAGTGTTGTTGTTGTTGTTGTCGTTGTTTTTTTAATCGAACTTAAGCGGAGGCTTGTTCTGCTGCTCTATGAGAGCCATCTCTACCTGGTGCTGGAGACCAGATCTGAAGGAAGAACGATGGGGTTCTTAACAAAACTGATAAGAAAGGTGAGATGATTTACAAGGCTTGCGAGCTTCTGTAAGCATCGTTTCTGTCGAGGAATCAACCTTAGGGCTGTGCCCGAATATTTGTGGTCAATATAATGATGATTTTATTGTTCTTGGTATGTGTTTGACCTTTTGTCTAACAATTAGTCACTTAAATTACTGATCGCGACGTTTTGATGTCTTCCTGAGACGATAATGTCGATTTGCAGTGCGCCGGAAACCACGTCAGGTTTCTCGTCTGTTGTTACTGTTGTATTGAGTTGAAGGAATTATAGTGCCTTTTACGCAAACATGCCATGAATTCATGCGGGATAGAAGCAAAGTGGAGCTCTAAATCAAAATTTAGCTTTCAACCTACGTTATGTCGTTCCAAATGCCTTATGTGAAAAGTTAGAAAAGAATGCCACATATAGGCATCGCCCTCATAAATGTAGCTACAAACATTCAAACAGAATTTTGAAAGCAAAAACGGTTTAGAAAAGTTGCATCCCTTTTTTTCTTCTAATGCGTCGTGTTTAATCAAAGGTGGTGCTCTTTTACTGTTAAAGCTTTTTTTGAACGATACTAAACAATACTGCAACACGCCTCAATAAAGAATGACTAAGAAAAATTCACCACACCCTGATATTTACATATTCAAGTAAGATTAAAAATCTCCGTCTTCGTTATTGTTCTTTTTCTTTTTAAACAAAACGACTCATAGTGACTCCCATGCAATAATCTCCGCCCACGAGGCTCAGCTCTAAAAGCTTCATGCTCTCCATAAGGAGGGTGCATAAATTACTACCGAAGTTAGTGGAAACGCTTTAGTTTACAGAACGTGTATTCATACTTTCAGGTCGAGATTGTTTATCGCTGTTAAAATCAGGCCATACTCAGAGTGGAGTGTATTCTGTGGACCCAGACGGTAAAGGATCCTTCAATGTGTACTGTGACATGCGCACTGATGGTGGAGGGTGGACCGTGTTCCAGAGAAGACAAGATGGCTCGGTGGACTTCTATTGGGGATGGAACGATTACAAATCAGGCTTTGGTCGACTGACTGCTGAGTTCTGGTTAGGAAACGACAAGATCCACAGGCTATCGGCCGCTAGACCCAGTTCTTTACGAGTGGAGTTGGAGGCCTGGAATGGAGCAAGAGCATTTGCCAAACATGTCAAGTTCAAGATTGGTGATGAGCAGACAAAGTATCGACTTGAAGTGGGTTCATATTCAGGGACGGCGGGAGATTCGTTAGTACGGCATAACAACATGGCGTTTAGCACAATAGACAGAGATAATGACATATACAGTGGTAACTGTGCTGTGTTATACACTGGTGCCTGGTGGCACAGTGATTGCTACTACTCCAGTCTAAACGGAAAATACCTGGGAAAAAATAAGGGAAGTAATGGGAAAGGAGTCCATTGGTGGCACTTTAAAGGAAGCAATTTATCGCTAAAATTCACTGAGATGAAGATGAGGCCATCATCATAATACAAAATGTTCGAGTTTAATTTAACGAAAATCTATTTCTCCTTAACATCACTGAAAACTAAAGAGATCTATTTCAGCCCTAAAGTGCCAATTTTAGCCCCGCAGGCGAGCGTCTGATTCCCGGAGCCATTTGAGCACAATTTAAGCCAAAACAGCCCCATCAAAGGCTGTTTCAACCCAGGCTGGGATCAATAAACCCCGTCCAAATAAGCCCTAGATAATTGGACTGTATTGGCCTTTATTGAGGGAGTCAAATTGGACCCAAAAAATAGGACTGTATTTTAATCATCGAAACGGCCCCATTTTCAGGGCTAAAACGGATCTTTCTGATTTACAGTAAGCACAATTCAGATGTATGACCTATATATTGGTTATAAAGATCTCTCATGTTACTTGAACTTCATTAGTTACATTTAATTTTGTAAGCAGCCTATCATTTTTCTGTTTGCTGTGTATTCAGATCTTGCGTATGTAACGTTCATTTTGTATTTATTCATTTTTTTAACCCCCGTTGAAGGTATGCGTTGCAAACCGAAATTTCACACATATGCACTTTAACATTTGATTTGTCTTAAAGATTTTGCTCTTAATTTTCTTAGTAAGGATCATGATTGGTGATGGTCTACTTAGTATTCAAGGTTTTCACTGATCCAGTTCCACACAAGATCCGGCTCTCTTCACTGATTTGTTTCTATAGTTTTGCCTTTTTTAGTGTTTCTTATTTCATTTAGCTAAGAAAAGTATCTAAATTGAGTTGCATTCAGTTACGCAAAGGGAAATACTCATTAAAATTAGCAAGAGCAAAAATTTTTATTTAGTGTCAATTCTAATTCAGTATGTCTGACGGCCCGTTTTCATGAAAGTAGCTGAAATTCGGAGTATAGTATCTTGAAAATTAATAATGATAAAATCCTTAAAGGTGATCTTTTTATGCAAGATACCAAAAAAAGCTTTAACTTGCCTGAATTTTTCCTTCCCCATACCAGCGACAACGCTTTTTTTTTTCCCTTTTACCATTATAGGTATTAAAGTTAGCTGAGGTGTTTGTGCGTTTTTATTAAATTGTTGTTATTTTGTGTGTGTTTTTTTGTTTGTTTTATTTGTTTGTTTGGTTGGTTGGTTTATATAGTTATTCTGAAACTATTTTGCTTTAAAATTGACATGTTTACAATTTATCATAGAGTTAAATTGCTTCATACACAGTAATGAAAGAGCAAAAAAACAAAATAGTCAAAAGTAGAATGAGATAAGACAATAAGAAAAAATTAATTTTGAAATGTTTGGTAAGCAAATTTGTTCTTATCTAGATAATTTGTGTAATCATAATGCTTCTTCATTCAAAGCATTAAATGGCCCCAGATTACTAAGGTAAGGTTATCACATTAGTTCTAATAAAAATAGAGAAATCTCATTCCCTACCTAAACTAGAATCTAACGAAAAACTAAAATAATAAAGATGATAAGCAATGAGTGGAGTACAATTCAGGGAGTAATCGGACGAGTAATTTCAATACGCGCTCGGCCGATTTGAAGTTACGAGCCCGATTACCCCTGAATTGTAGGACACGAAATCCTATTGCCAATTAATTGTGTCAATAAAAAAATGCGAGAATCTCAGTCTTGGAATATTTATTAATGTAAATAAAAGTCACTGGACCAGTGAGTTTTATTCATTTTTATTTTCCAGTTGTAGCTGGACAGCTTACCTGGTCACTATTTTTTTTGTTTTTTTGATTGGTTATCATGTGCTATGTAATTAAATTTAATTGGCTAGGGGCATTTGCGACTTGATTTTCATTGGTTCTTTAACTGTGTAATTTGACCTGCCCGATTACAAGCTCCTGGTAATCGGACAGGTCAAATCGAACAGTTTTGGAGTTACAATAGCAAAATGGGCTAGCCAAGAGAATCAGGTTCAAGTATTTTGTTATGACACAGTTAAGAAGAAAACCTGCTTTACAAGGAAGTCGTGAGCAAAATTAAGTATCGCTATTGAAATATTAACTAACGTCAGTAATGAAATTAAGGTCTTTAACTCTGAATGAAATTCATTAACGTATGTCGGTTGTCTGACCTCCAGAGAGGCAAGCTGTTCCACAGCACACCTCCGCTGTAAATCTTGAAAAACAATTTTTAATTGCTAAGACCTTTAATTTTCGAGGCTCAAGGCTTGACATTAAAGTTTTCTTTTCTTATCCCCCAATAGAACTGTTTCACTGACAAAAGACACCATAAGTTTACGGCAAAACGTCTGGGTGAACATGAGAGAACGGTTTAACCATTATGACTTCGTCGTTATCCGGAACGGAATATGCGAGAGAGCCGTGATAAAAAAAAGCAATTAACTCTATCCGTTCACTGTTATCATCTAGTTAAGCTTGAAAAGTAAATTATGGAATTCTCGGTAGGCTATGTGAAGTTTGCCTTTGACTTAATCCCTTTTTGGGTGGCAGTGTGCCTTTAGCCATCTCAGTAGCCTTTTTTAATAGTCTCAATTCGAGAACAAGAGTTACTTTGATTCTCGTAACTGATATGCAAAATTTGCATTTTTTTACCCTCTGTCTTGTTAAGTCCATCTTCTAATATTTGCCTTATTTCACGATTAGAAGTATCAACACTGACAACAAACTCTGGTCTGATGTAACTCTCCTCGTACAGGGAAGTACAGTGCTCAGTTCCCCATCGGACATAGGGGTTCATCCAAGGAGTACTGCTGGACTGAATCCACCCGTGAGGGTCACGGATACTTAGATATTCTCCCCTCTTATTCAGTCTGATGAATAGGAATAAAGCAATGAAATATGAGAAAAACGTGTTTCAACCTTAACTTAGCTAATCTGCTAAGTGAGGTAACAATTTAAAAGCAGTTGAAAAACAGAAGAAAATAAGCGTGAAGATAGTTTAAAGTGTTTTGAAAAGCGGGTAATTATAAAGAGAGATGGTCAGTGTAATAGCTCGTTAATGGTCGATAGTATTTGTACCTCATACGACTGTAACAAATTTAGAATCCCTTTGAGTCATCTACTTTCACTTTACTTTGTTCAATGTTTTTGGTGTTACGACTTAGGTTGTTAGTGTCCCATCCGTCTCCCCGCAGCGATACCCTCCCTGAGGTGGGGACCTCCTCGTTAGGTACTCCCTATGATGGCCTATACGAGGAGGCTACACCCGGAAGGTGTACCTTTTTCAGGCTTCAGGTATAATGAAGGGTAGGGATTTCACTAGTTGAAGTATCTGAAACGGTAGGGAAATCTGTCATTTGGGACTGTAAAATAGCCTAAAAGAACTACAGAGGGATTTTAAGGCTGTGAAAAAGACAAGAACATTTTCTAATTTTGGGATTTATTCATAATTATTTAAAAGAAAGTGCATTCACTGCAATTGAAAGGGACCGATGCAAAGTTCTTAGCCAGCAGCACATCACCTGGGCTCCTGTCGTAGCTAAAGGGGCACCATTTTTCAATACGAAAGGGCTTCCTTTTCAGTCAAGAATGGTGTATAAAAGGGTACGGGGTTGGACCACGGAGCGGAGACCCCCGTATAAACTTTGTTGAGTACCTCCCCCTCCCCCCCCGGTGGTGTCCCCATTCCTGCTGACTGCCCTGGGCTAATTATGATTTGCGCGAATATGGCCCTTGTGAGAATTTACAATACACTGTACTGTAGTTTGAATTTCAAGAATTTGGATTGGCGGGCATACAAGCGTTACCCTCCACCGTAATTAGAATGATACACATTCTACGAAATTTTTACGTAAGCCAGATTTTATAAGGGACTGCAAACGAAAGGTCACAAGGCCAGCAGGCGCGCAGTCAAGGAAATGAGAGGAGCGAAAAAGTTGGGTTTTCCTATGTAGCTAGCTTCAATAGCTGCTTTCATTTCAAGACATTCTAGTGAATCATAAGGCGTGATCTCTTGAGTCTTCTGCCAGAGGAAAATCATAAAACGGAAATAGATCTGCTTCGGATCTGCGTTAGCGCACAACAGATTTTATTGATCTGCAAGGATGTCTCTGCAAGGTCAGATCAAGACCGGCCCTTCAAAATAGCGTCGGAGTAAGAACTATTTCTCGCCAGTATTAAAACAAAAAACGTAAGACACTACTCACCGGTTCTACTGGAACATTTCACGAGCTCATGATTAAACTCAGATCTTCAGTACTCTAGGTAAAGACCAGGATTGTTTAACCTTTGAATATTTTTTTGGCTTTTGTAGTGCACAGACGAAAAAACCTGAATTTAGAATTCTCAGCTTACCGCGTAATGGGTCTAAAATTGAATAATGTCTTAAATGTAATAACTTTTTGGCCTAAATGTAATAACATTAGGTGTAGGTGTGATAACATTAGGTGCTTTGACGTCACGCTAACGTCATCGATGACGGATGACGCTAGTAACACGTTATTAAAGGGGCTGACTGCTTAATTATGTTAATGTTGCCATTATCGTATTTACTCGAAAAAGCACCGCCCTCAAATAAACGCCTCAATTGGGAGAAAAAGGGTTGTAAGTGTTTTCCCCGAGTAAGCGCCGCGGCCCTAATATAGTCAAAGAAAAATGCGTCAATTCTGTTAGGTTAATACTTATGTGTAATAGAGGCTCGAGAAATTATTAGGATTTGGACAAAACGCAAGTGAAATTATTCCCTAATTTCACGAGTATACCATTTGATTACCTATTAATATCATGGGCGACGAATTGCGTTAGCAATCTTGGATTTTTGACATGTTTATCCTGGATCGTATCGATCGAGAACTCAACTCTCTCAGATCTTTAGACCTTAAATTTAGCTTATAAAGTTCAGAATTTTTCAGACTATTTCGGCAAAATACCTGTAAGAATCCTTCTTGATGTTCTCTTGTGTGTTCAGGTTTTCTAAAGCCTCTTTTCGTGCCCTGACATCTTCATTCACGGCATTTTAAAACTTCGTCGCCATCTTGACACTGAGAAGTACGGAAGGTTGTCATGGCAATTTCGCGCCAAAATTAAGGAGTAATTCGT